AGAAAAAAAAGAATGAAAGAAAGGAAGGAGATAGGAGAGAGGAGAGAATCGGGGGGGGGGGGAGAAAAGAGGGAGAAAAATAATAAAAGAATGAAAGAGAAGGGAAGAGATAGGAGAGAGGAGAGAATCGGGGGGGGGGGGGGGGGGGGGGGAGATGGAGAAAAAAAAAATAATGAATGGAAGAAAAGGAGGAGATGAGAGAGATGAGAGAATCGAAAAACAAACAGAAACCAACAAAAAATAGAAAACGAAAGAAAAGAAAAAAAAAAGAACAAGAAAAGACCAAAAAAAAACAAGACGAATAAAAGAAGTGCATAAACAGAACCAACGGTTAATAACCCCAATATCTAAGCTCATAATAAATGCATTTACCCAATAAACCATTGACTTAGCAATAAGCTTCGCAGCAAAACCCGAAGCACGTGTACATAACAGCCGGAGCAAAATACTTTCTAAACCAGCTGTAAAATCCGGCTTCCTTGCTGACGTTCTTTCTAAAATCTATTTCTTGCCTCTGAGAAAAAAAAGAAAAAAGAATCATGAGCCCTTGACTCTTAAAATTAAAATGATTATTATTTCTTGATAGATAGATAAATATGAATAAATAGATATATGAATGATTAAATAAATAAATAAATAGATAAATCGATAGATAAACAGATAAATGGATCAATATATAAACAGACAAATAAAGGAATGAATAAACAAACACATATTTAAATGGATCGACAAATACATGAACAAACACACATAAACAAATACAAAAATATCCCTTCACAGACCAATAAGGAATTCGACTCATAGATTTCCACCGTCATTAACGCAACCCCTTCCTATAACGTCGACGTCAATCCTCCTGCAATATGATACGTCCCTGTCTCTGTTAGCTGACGCAGCTGTGCACAGTTCACAATGCAATAACAATCAGTGCAGAGTCACACGCCACACACGCCTCGTCATATAATTGAGTGTCACTTCTTAATGCTATGGGACATGTCTCTGTGATTCTAGTCTGGGAGGCATTTCCGCCTGCTGGCTGATTGTCCGAAGGGGAAAGAGGATATATGTATTTATATGTGTGTATGTGTGTATGTATGTATGTATGTATGTATATATATATATATATATATATATATATATATATATATATATATATATATGTAGTATGTATGTATGTATGTATATATATATATATATATATATTATATATATATATATATATATATATATATATATGTGTGTGTGTGTGTGTGTGTGTGTGTGTGTGTGTGTGTGTGTGTGTGTGTGTGTGTGTGTGTGTGTGTTTGTGTGTTTGTGTGTTTTTTTTTTTTTTTTGTTATTTAGATATACTTTTCCATGCCACTTTTTCTCTCTATCTCTGTCTATCTGTCTGTCTGTCTGTCTGTCTGTATATCTTTCTATCTCTCTCTCTCCTCCCTCTCACTACCCCCCCCCCCTCTCTCTCTCTCTCTCTCTTCTCTCTCTCTCTCTCTCTCTCTCTCTCTCTCTCTCTCTCTCTCTCTCTCTCTCTCTCTCTCTCTCTCTCTCTCTCTCTCTCTCTCTCTTCCTCTCTCTCTCTCTCTCTCTCTAAACGATTACAGAAAATAATTATTAAAATTCCGGGGAATAATAGCGATCGAAAAGTCTTTTATATTTACGTAGCAAAATTAATTCAATACATTAACGAGACACACTTTCAAAAAATATAATATTTTCGTATTTGAAACCTATATCAAAATAAACAAAATTTCAACCATCTGCATCATTCACTCTACATCAAAAGCCCATTAAATTTACATTTAAATAGCTCAAAGATACGACATAATTAAGAGTACTTTTTAATTAACGTGAACAGTTGTCAGTTGTCAAAAAAAAAAAAAAAAAAAATCTAAATATCTATTCCTTTCGCATTAACAGACTGATGGAAACTCAACCGAAAGAGACAAGAGGACGTTGTCATAAATTATTGGTAAGTTTTGCTTTTCAGACAGAAGAGTATTTTGTGACTGCGTGTATGTGCGTTCGTGTGTTAATTATTTATTTTGATTGTGTGGTGTGATTCTTAGCTGTTGCGTGTGATTTCGGGATTGTCTTAATTAATGATCGTCCATTTTGGAAGGCGTGATATCTCTCTAAACCTATTTCTGTCGCTATGTCTCTTGAGGCTGTTTTTGACACTCTCTCTCTCTCTCTCTCTGTCTCTGTCTCTGTCTCTCTCTCTCTCTCTCTCTCTCTCTCTCTCTCTCTCTCTCTCTCTCTTACTCTCTCTCTCTACCGTTCTCTCTATCAGCCATGTATCATATATTTGTTTATCTACAGACCTGTTTGCTTACCTTCCTTTCTGACAACGCCTACCATCTAACAACATCAAACAGAACCTAACAACATCAAACAACACTTAACGACACCTACCAACAACATCTAACAACACCTAACATCAACAACCACCCACATAAGGGCCCCCACCCCCACTGAAAATTCCCTCTCCTGAAATGTGCTTTGCCCCCCTCCCCCCCGTCACCCGCGGCCACTGAAAACATTATTCCCAAGACAAATAGGGAAAATCGGTGCCTTTGTCAACAATACAAAACTTGACTTCATGCATACAATAGTCGGATTTATCACATTCTTGGAAACGAACGCTGGAGAATTAAGCATTTTTGGGGGGGAGGGAAGAAAAAAAAATCTATATATAAAAAATAGGAAAGATAAGAAAATCTCTCTCTCTCTCTCTCTCTCTCTCTCTCTCTCTCTCTCTCTCTCTCTCTCTCTCTCTCTCTCTCTCTCTCTCTCTCTCTCTCTCTCTCGCTTCTTTTTTTCTCAGAGAGAGGGAGAGAGAGATTTTCTTATCTTTCCAATTTTTTTATATATAGATTTTTAGATAACGGAGAGAGAGCAAGAGAGAGAGAGAGAGAGAGAGAGAGAGAGAGAGAGAGAGAGAGAGAGAGAGGAGAGAGAGAGAGAGAGAGAGAGAGAGAAACGAAACAAAGAGACAGAGAGAAAGACAAAGACTGAGAGACAGAGAGACAAAGAAAAAAAAAGAAATGAAGAAACAGAGAAGCAGAAAGACAGAGAAAGAAATAGAGAGAGAGAGAATCAGAAACAAAAACCGTAATCAGACGCACACAAACAAACACAACCACACAAACCTCTCCTCCCCTTCCCTCTTTCCTCTCCCCTCCCCCTTTTCCCCCATTCCTTCTTCCCTCTTCCCTTCCCCCCCCCCCCCCCCAGGAAACAAGGA